AGAAGACATTCTTACCAGACCAATGATGGCTGCTCCAATTCCGATGAGAGGGCTGACAGAAATAATAACCAAGGTCAGTTTCCAGCCCTGATAAAATCCCAGCAGGAACCCACCGAGACTCGTGGTCATGCGCTGAATGAAAATGGCCATTTGGTCAGCAATGGCATCATTGATTTTATTAATATCACTAGAAATGAGAGAGGCTTTGATCACTAAAACAAAATTCAGTCAATTCAAACATCTTACTGAGAAATCTCAGTCTTTCCCTTTTAAACTCTCCCATCCCTGTACCCCATTGCCCTTGGGAAACATAACTGACTCTCGCATCATGGGAAATTTGCTGCAGCTTGGGAGGTCATCAAGGCGTCTCCTCTCATAGCCAAGTAAGTTCGCCCTTAACCCAGATCTCCCAGTTGGGGTCCACTAAACATGGCAAAGTCTTTTGGAAATCATCCTATTTGTCACTTTTTTTTTTATAAGTAATATCCTTGATCTGCCCTGAAGATCCCTTCTTTCCTTCTTTATACCTGCTAAGTTTTTCAACCTCACGGTTCTACTCACATACCACCTAATTATAGAAAATTACACAAAATCTTATATAATTCCCCAGGAAGAAGTAACATTGTCCTCCCTGTGTTTCCATAGCAATGTAATCAATCTGTATATGTGTGTGTGTATGTATCTAATTATTGCATTCTGCTTATAGAAAATATAGAATAATGGTTAAGAGCACAGACTCTGGAGCCAGACTCTGAATTTAAATACCAGCTCTTCTTGGACAAGTTATTTAACCTTTCTGTGCCTCAATTTACTCATCTGTAAAGTGGGTATAGTGACAGACTCTACCTCAAAGGGTAGTAATGAGTATTAGCTGATTATATATATATATATATATATATATATATATATATATATATATATATATATATATGGTATATAAAACAGTGCCTCGGATACAGTAAGCAATCAATATGTGTCTGCTCTGATTATTTATTTGCTTGCACCTTTTATTTTCCTACTAGGCTGTAAATTCCTTGATTTTAGGAGTTCTGTGGTTTATCTTTATGCCTTGCAGAGAGTAAGTGCTCCAGGATATTGCTTAAATATAGTTACAATAAATTCACATTCCTGGGAACATTCCCACAGTGTCTTGTCCTGATGGAACAAACTGGGTTTAGGACTTGATAGAAAAAAAAAAAAAAGGACATTACCCAGGGATTAGAGAATTGTATTCTAGGAAAGTGATGTATCTGTTCATGGTCACAGTAATAATAGGCAGAATGAGGGCTGGAATCTAAGGGTCCCAACATTCAGTCTGCTTTCATCTTCACTACACTACACATTGTCTTTCATCAGACTTCAAAGTTCAATTCAATAGGGTTTATTGGTTCTAATTACTCAGGGCTCATTCAGAATTACTGAGGGGGCTATTAATGACCCAAATTAGTATTGAGGTGCTGGATTTAAATCCAGTTTCCTAGTTTGAATCTTTGTCAAACTATTATGGATTTTTTTCTTTTTGTTTTTATGTGCAGAAATTACCTCAACAGACAAAGCAAGATAATTTGTCCTTCTTATAGATATCTAGATTGTGACATTCCCTCAATTTCTCCGTTTGAGGCCAAATAACACTCCTTTTTCTTTTTTTTAACTCTCTTCTATATTATTTCATTTCTAATATTTGAATCAAGGGCCTACAGACCATATTGTACTATCCTGGCTTTCAGTTTACAATGATCATATTTGATAAAGCATTACTGTGAGAAAGCCATGCTGCTGATAAAAGCCCAACTTAAGAGACAAAAATTATAAAAAATAACTGAAAATGTTTCCAATTGTTATTTAATTTAGAAATAAGAGTTTTACTACCAAAAAAAAAATCACACATACATTAAAATATCCAACCAGCCACTTACTCAGAAAATCTTGTATTTAGCTCTCCCACTGAATTGCAGTCGAACCATCCTATTTCCATCCTCATTACTTTCCTGAAGTAAAGTTTTCTCATTTTCTGTATCTGACGAGCTGAGGCAATTACCCAAAAGCATATCTGGAAATGAAGCAAGGAATGTTAAAAATTCCAATATTAAAAATATTCTCTAATTCCTCCTCTTTGAGAAGAAAATGCGTTCAATACAACAGTTGAGAAAAGGAGGAAAGTAATTCACAAAATGCGTCTTCTTAGGAGCTAAGATGTGAGCGCTGGCATCTGCTCCTCCAAGTGGAGGTGAGCAGAACTGGGAACAGGGAAGCAGATTTGGGTCTGAATCCAGCTCTGCCACTTTCAGGCTTAACCTTCCTGAGCTTCACTTTCCTTGTGTGTGAAATAAAGCTCACAGCACCAAAAAATAAATTACTGCTCTTAAATCACTATTTTTGCATGCACTTCTGAATGAATTTTTCCCCTGAAAGTCCTTTCAACAAGCATTTATGCTTAGTTTTCAAGCTGTTGGGCAATGATTTTCAGAGAAAGTAAGACAAAAATTATGTCATAAGCGGGGAATCTACTGAGTTTCTCCCAATCAAATAAAATAAGCCTGTCATTAAAATTTCCAGTGCCAGAATGGAAAAAAATTGATGCATGTCCCTCTTTGTGGAATTCTTGAATGAATGGGAGGTGGAGGTATTCATTTTTTTCTACAGAAGAAGGCTAAAGATGAAATATTTTTCTTCCTTAATAAAACATTTAGTAACTCCAGGCCCTTTCATAGCTTAAATCTAGAATATGCTCTAGATTCAGTTTGCGGAATTTGGGTTGGAATGCAGTTTGGTGAGACTTTAGGAATGAAAAGAATTTAGGAATGAAAGAGAAAAAGAAAATAAAGTTTGCTTTCCTCCAACTCTCCATGCCCAGCTTTCTCCAGACCACGCACTCTCCCTCTACAAATACACCCATCCTGCCTATTTCTCAGTTTAGAAGAGAGGGTCAAGTGGGGAGGGCAGGGAGGAACAGGACATTGAAACTGAAAGTTTATTCTCCATCTCTCCAGATAATTGCTGGCATTCTCCACAATTGAGAGGAGAAATCCTTCCCATTCTCTCATGCCCCCCCAAAATAAATTTGCAGTCCTTAGGACTTCTGAATAACTTGGAAGTTAACGAGTACACTTTGCATTTCTTTGAATGTCTTTGAACCCAATTGTTGATCAAGAAATAAAATGGAGGTGCTACTAACTTGAATATATCCTGTGATAAGCACTGCGACTGCGGTTCCAGCATAGTAACTGGCAAATTTGATCATTTCACTTTCAATGTCCAGCAACCTTCAAAAGAGGGGGAAAAATGTTAAGCTCACAAGGCATCCAGCTACCAAAAATCACATTTTGTAGGTCCAGAGGAATTTAAAATATACGAGATCAGACAATTAAGTTTATGAACTTTCCACTGTGCCCTTACATCTGTATATGTTTCTATTAAATATGGGTAAGGCATTTTACTTGTGTAAAATTATAATCAATCTAACCACATCCCTAACTAGATCTCATGATACCAATCACAGCAAAGAGGACTACCCCCTTCATTTTTACAGGCAGAGATGCTAGGTGTGTGAAATAATCAACTGGAAGTTGTTGGAAGCCAGGGGACCCTAGATGGCAGCCCAGTGCTCTGTCCACTGAACCCCTTTTGCTCATGCTTATTATGCAGTGATAGAGCAATCATAACTACAGAAAGGTTTTTAAAAGCCAAACAGGTATCTGAAAAGACACTGGTAGAGAGATGTGCGCTGTAAATCAGGAGGCTTACTGTTACCTCCTCCAGAAATCTAAGCCAGCTTATCAACTCCTCCATCTCAGAGTGACACTGTAAGAAAAGTGTGTGTCACCTTCCCATAGAAGCAGAAAAACGCTTTATAAGCACAGATTTTCTGCTGACTACAGTCCAGGAAACTTCAATTTCCAGGCTCATTTCTAAGATTGAAGCCAAAGAACTTACAGGGAACAGCAAGAAAACTCTACAGCATTTTCCCAGGACAAATATCAAGCTGCAGCATAGGGTTTGGGATTGGCAGGGGCAGAGAAGGGAGGAAAACAGTATTCTGAAATTGCTTCCAGAAAACAAGGAATTTTATAATTAGAAAGTTAACGTAATGGTTAATGACAATTCGGATCTTCAGGGACAAGTTAAATAGTATGAAGTCTACGTCTCCAGAAAAACAGAAAGTAGCAGCATCACAATAGATGCCCTCATCCCACATGCTTTCTGCTTTCTATCAGGACTTCCTTTTGTGACCCGAGCTTCAATTGTTCTCTCCCTCTGCTGAACTCAGACCAAGTATTAAAGTATAATTTATTTAATTCAGAGCAAACTATTATTCCATGACAGATTTTATTGCTATCTTGCACTATTATTCAATATCTTTATTGAATATATTTGTATTGAGCATATTATATATAAATATATATTATATATTTATTTATGTTTGTTTGTCTTGCTAGTAAATTAAGCTGCTTGCTCACACTGCCTGAAGCTTGGTATAATAATAACTTTCACATAGTAGGTACTCAATAAATATAAATGTTTCTTGATTTTGCTTTGATTTTCAAAACACCAGTGAGGAAGGGAAACAACTGCTTTGGTCAACCCCTCTGACAATCTCCAAACCAGCTAATATGCCTGTGATCAACACATTCCCAGGTTTTTCATGATGATTTAAGGGAACCCTGAGAATGAACAAGATCTAGAAAGTAATAAACTTATATATAAGTATTCACAATCAGAGGCTCTTACGAAAGCTAAGTACCTCTGTATAGAGTGTATAATCTAGTATTATGAGTAAAGCCATCTAGTATATAAATGAGTCCATACTCTTAGTTTTCTATTTGTGAAATGAAATTTGGGTATTCAAAAACAGAAATCTATGAGCATCTGTCAAAAAGATTTTCTTAGACTTCCTGTGGAGCATTCGTTCTACAGACACTCTAGGCAGAGGTGGTTAAAGCATCTGTCATGAAAAACACGGCTGCCAATTATAAACAAACCTATGTGGGTTGAGAGTCCTGAGTACTGAGCCAGTCCCAGGATTTACTAGAGCAAAGTTCAGGAGAATTATGTCATTGCTGGGTGGTGTAGATAGAGACATGCGTAGTTTACAATTATTTTCACTCCTGAGGCACCCCAAACATAAATGTTTAGCTCATTTCTACTTTATTCTTGAGAAGGCTACTTGAGAATGTTTCTGGAACAACAGGACAAACCTATCAGAAAAACCGAAAGGGAGGAAGAGAGCAGACTGGCTGCAGGCTGACTTAGTTCCTTTGACTGCACATCAAACTCTTCATCATCTGTGGGGTGGAAACTCTTGTGACTATAAAATCCTAAAAAGGATTCTATAAAGTGTGCAGGTGATTTGGACCACAGAATGGACACTGCAAAATTGACATACATCCGCTTGAATAAATTACGATTCCCCTAACTCATTTGTTGATGAGCAAAGAGGGGAAAGAGATGACCATTAGAGGGAAAGGAAAGAGATATTTTACAAATTATTAATATATTCTTACCTTGCTTTTTATAAAAAACTAAATGCATCATAAAATTGAGTCACTCAATTTACACTTCAAGGTTTCCGATTTACTAAAGCCATAGGTTTTTCATTTGAAATATCTAGGAGATCGTTATACAAGGTACAGTGCTTAACAAGTTTTTCTTTTGGTGGTTCTCATGCACTGTAGACATGGCAGCACTGACACCTTAGAGTGAACCTCAGCTCCAGCTCTAAAGTGAACATCACAAGCTGGCAGAAATGTTTTCGTGCCCCAGTTTTAGAGTGTGGGGGGCTCTGTATTCCTTAATGCATGGGACACTGACCTACGGTCAAATGGCTTATCACTGGTTAAAGTCACTAGAACATCCACACGCTATGGTGCCATACTGTCAGAATGGCTAGATCTTCATTTCAGAGACTCCACAACAATTTTTTTCCACCCAGGACGCTATTTTTTGTTTATTTTAAACTAACATTTTATTTTCAGATAAGTGTAGATTCAGTTACAACTGTGAGAAACAGTACCGAGAGATTTTGTATGCCCTGTATCCAGCTTTCCCCTGGTGGTAACATCTTGCAAAACTATAGGACAATATCACAACCAGGATGTTGACATCGACATACTCAAGATCAGAACATTCTCATCAGCACAGTATTCCTCATGCTGCCCTTTTATATCTACATATACTTCCATGTGACCCCTGCTCCTTCCTTAAGCCCTGACTGCCACTCATTTGTCCTCTATTGCTATAGTTTTATCATTTGAAGAATGTTATATAAATGGAATCACACAGCATGTAACTTTTGGGATTGGCTTATTTTTTCACTCAGCATAATTCTTTCAAGTTTGATTAATAGTTCATTCCTTGTTACTGTTAAGTACTGTATTTCCCCATGTATAAGACACTCCCATGTATAAGACGCACCTTCATTTTGGGGCCCAAAATTTGAAAAAAAATGTATCACATAAAGTTATTGAACTCAAGTTTTATTTATTCATCATAAAATTCATATAACTCCTCATCACTGTCAAACTCCCAACCATTAGCTTGTCCTCATCTGTGTCTGATGACGAATCACTGTCTTCATGTATTCCCTCTCATGGTCTTCTTCTGCCGTGGCATTTTCAGTAGGGTTTCTTCTTCCCGTAGCCAGTCTCAGATTGTTTTCTCAGTTGGAGGAGGACCAAACTTATGTTCAGCAGCACGATTTCCATTCACTTTTGCAAACTGGATCACTTTTAACTTGAATTCAGCACTATATGAAAATCTTTTCTGAGCCATTTCTGGGCAGAACGTGGCAAAACATAGCCTACCGTAATATACTGATAACAAGTGCAAACAATGAGCGCAAAGACAAGCGCGAAAAAGCGGGAAATGCAAGTAAAAAAATCTACAATGAGTGCAAAAACAAGCACAAAAAAAGCAGGAAGTGCAAGTAAAAAAAATCCTCAACCACTGTATAAGACACACCCAGTTTTCAGACCCCAAATTTTTCAAAAAAGGGTGAGTCTTATACATGGGGGAATACAGTAGTATTTCATGGTATAGATGGATCACAACTTGTTTAGTGACTTACCCATTAAAGGATGTCTGGGTTGCTTCTAGTTTTTGTCTATCACAATTAAACCTTCTGTAAACTTGTGTACAAGTTTTTATGTGAACATAAGTTTTCATTTTTCTGGGATAAATCTCCAAGAGTAGGCTTGCTGGGTCACATAATAGTTTGTGACTATTATGACAATTTTTTTAAAACTCAACATTTTAATTTTGATGAAGCCCAATTTATCAATTTTTCCTTATGGATTTTTTTTGGTGGCAGGTACAAGAGCTCTTTCTCTAGCCACAGACCTGAAAAGGTCTTCTATGTATTTTTCTAAAATTTCATAGTTTCTTTTTTACACTTAAGTCCATAATTCATTTTGAGCTAATTTCTGTGTAGGTTCATTCTTTGCCTAAGAATGTACAATTACTTCAGCACTCTTTGATAAAAACTTCATCTTTCCTTCATTGAATTGTTTTTCCACTTTTGTCAACAACCAATTGGACATATTTGCTTGAATTTATTCCTGAGTTCTCAATTTGCTCTTCTGTCAATACCACATAGCCTTGATTGCTGTAGCTTGATAATATGTGTTGAAATTGGGTAGATTGTTTCCTCACACTTTATTCTTCTTTTTCAAAATTATTTTAGATATTCTAGTTCTTTTGCTTTTTATGTAGATTTTAGAGTAATCATGTCCATATCTACAAAATATCTTGCTGAGATTTTGATAGGAGTTGCATTAAACCTGTATGTCAATTTGGGGGAGCTGACATCTTTACTATATTGAATCTTCCAATTGATTAACACTGTATGTCTCTCCATTTACTTAGGTCTTTGATTTCTTTCATCAGCATTTTGCAGTTTTCAGCACACAAGACCCCTCTACAAGTGTTGCTAGATTTACACCTAAATAAAAAATTTAAGCAGTTGTAAATGGAATTATATTTTGAATTTGGGTACCCACATGTCTGTTGCTAGCATATAGAAATAATATTGAATTTTATATGTGCATCTGTGACTTTGCTGAACTCACTTATTGACTCTAGGAGATTTTTATAGATTCTTTGGGATTTTCTGTTTTGAAAATCATGTCATCTACCAGGGGCAAACTAGACTATAACTCTGATGAACCCAGTGTGATAGTAAACTTTGTTATCCACAAAAAAAAAAAGAAAGAAGAAAAAAGAAGTCGTGTCATTTGCCAATAATGATGATTATATTTCTTCCTTTTAC